TTATTTGTTGTTGTTGTTGTTGTTATATGCCATTGTGTCACCTTTAATTCATAGCAACCCCATATACAGTACCTCTGAACCCTGCCTTACCCTGAGCCAGTCTCAATGACTCCAACACACCTACACCCATTACCTCAATTACTCTGTCAGTTCATCTCATCTGGGGTCTTCCTCTCTGCTTTCCCTTCACCTTTCTAAGCATGATGTTCTTCTCCCAGGACTGGTCTCTCCCATGTACCCAAAGTATGTGAAATGGAGCTTCAACATCCTTGCCTCCAAGGAGAAACTTGGTTTCACTGTCTCCAAGACACACTTGTTTTTTCTCTTGGTGGTCCATGGTATATTCACTACTCTTCCACACCCCAACTCAAAGAAAACAATTCTTCTGTCATATTTAGTCACTGTCCAGCTCTCTGCATAGCAAGTAATTGTTAAGACTATGGCCTAAATGAGACACACTTACTGCAAGCATGATTTCGTTTATAGTGATTAGTAGTGCTTTCTATAAAGGAACCTCCGGTGGCTTATTTGTAAGGAGCTGTGCAGTCAACCGAAAAGCACAGTTTGAATCCATTGTGAAAGAAAGATAGACAGACTCCACCCAGGCTTTATACTGCCTCTGAAAACCCTTGGAGAGTCAACTATGAGTTTGTTCCAGCTTAATAGTACACAACAGCGAGGTTTCCTATAAGGCTAGTTAACAATATTCCAAGTAACCAAATTGTTAAACCACTCTGTCTTGTCTGATGTCTATTATATTTCTCCTCCCCTCAGTCCTCCCACTCTCATCTTTGTCTTTGGGTTCTGCAGTTCCCTGGAAGTTCTCACAGAAACTGTCAGGGAAATAGCACATGTGGTTGTAGATGGTGTAAGCTGATGTATGTGGTCGCAGAGATGATGAACTGTGGTCCCAGAGGTAATAGGCAGAGGTGGTCTGTTGTCAGGTTTGATGCCTGCCCCAAGAAAACAAGTATTGAGTTTCCCAGAAACATTCTTTTATATTGCATCTTAGCACTATAAACCACACCCCTATGTGGCAAATTGGGTAATACCTTCTTGAAGGGTGGGGCTTATATTACACAGAGAGGATGTAATCCTAAAGTGGAAGACAATAGAAGGAAGGGTTATATTAAAAACCAGTAAGGACATCTTCAAATGATTGAGGAGCAATTACTTCAGTTGCATGTGAAGTGAGAGGAAAGACCATGGCTTGAATGAGGTGCACCTTAGTCCTGAAACTAACATGATTGCTTCTCAGCAGACTTTGCCACTGCATTACATCTCCTATTTTCCTGACTTAACAAGATGAAGTTGTGACAGTATCATTCTTTTCTCCATTCTTTATGATGGAGCCTATCAGTTCAGTGGTGAGCATTTTTGTTTTCTTGATGTTCAGCTGCAGCCCCTATTGAAGGCTGTATTCTTTCATCTTTAGCAAGTGGTTCAAGTCTACCTTTTTAAGCAAGCAAGGTTATGTCATCTCAAAAACGCAGGTTGTTGTGAGTCTTTGTCCTATCGTGGTTCCACATTCTTCATAGAGTCCAGCTTATGAAATTAGTTGTTCATCATACAGCCTGAATAGATGTGGAGCAAGGATACCACCTTTACACACACCTTTCTTAATTTTAAACCAAGTAGTGTTCTTTTGTTCTGTTCACACAGTAGCATCTTGATCTTGGTATACATTTGGCATGAACACAATTTCATGTTCTGAGATGCCCAATCTTCTCTATGTTAGCCATAATTCTTTATTGTCTACACCATCAAATTCTTTTTAATATTCAATAAAGTATAAAGAGTCATTCTTCTGGTATTCTTTACTTTTAGCCAGGTTATCCATCAGAAATCAGCAATGATATCCCTGATGCCATGGCTTCTTCTAATTCCTGCCTGAACTTCTAGCAATTGTCTATGTGCTGTTCTAGCCACTTTGGGATGATCTTAAGTAATTTGTTTGCTTATAATAGTAATGATCTTGTTTTGTAAATTCCACATTCTGTTGGATTCTTGGGAGTGAGAGCAAATATGGATCACTTAGTGAAAACTATACCTAGACTAAGAGGCAGCTCAATGAGAACAAGTTTTAAAAATCATGTGGGTCCTTGAGGCAGTCTTTTATTTTTACAGTTAATTTTTTTTTATTATACTAGTTTATTTACAAAATTTGGATACATTGTTTTCCACGACAGATTCTTCCAATTTTCCTTACCCCCACCCATCAGATTGTACAACTCCGTGATTAATCCCCCCCTGCACATCCTCATCCCTCTGCTTTCCCCCCATCCTTATTCTACAATAATGGTTCTATACAATATTTGTCCTTGTGGGACTGAATTAGTTCACTCAACATAATGCTCTCCAGTCCCTCCTAAGTTAGGTAATAATTTGCAAAATCATTTCTCCTGCGTGCTGCATAGTATTCCATTGTGTGAATGTACCATAATTTCTCAATCCATTAATTTGTGGTTGGACATTTGGGTTGTTTCCATGTTCTTACAATGGTGAATAATGCTGCTATGAACATTGATGTACAAATATCCATTTGTGCCTCGATTCCATTAAGTGAATGTATCATAATTACCTTGAGGCAATCTTTACTGTCATCCCACTTGTTGTTGTTGTTGTTGTTGTTGTTATGTGCCGTCAAGTCACTTGCGACTCATAGCAACCCTATGTACAGCAGCCCTAAACTCTACTCTGTCCTGTGCAAATTTCACTGTCTCCGATACACCCATCCCTATTAGCCCAGTCACTGAATCAGTCCACCGCATTGAGGGTCTTCCCCTCCTGCACTGTCCCTCCACCCTACCAAGCATAATGTCCTTCTCCAAGGACCAGTCCCTCCTTACAACATGTCCAAAGAATGTTAGACGGAGCCTCAGAATCCTTGCCTCCAAGGAGCCACCTGGCTTAACCCTTTCCAGGATGAATCTGTTTGTTTACCTAGCAGTCCATGGTACTCTCAATACTCTTCTCCAGCACTACAGCTCAAAGGCATCAATTCTCCTTCTGTCCCCTTTGGTTACTATCCAATTCTCTGATGCATAACAAGTGATAGCAAAGACCATGGTCTGTATCAGACGCACCTTAGTCTCCAGAGAGACACCATTGCTGTTCAGTACTTTGGAGAGGTCCCTAACAGCAGACTTTCCATGGCAATACTTCTTTTAATTTCCTGGCTACTGGTGCCAAGAGTGTTGACTGTGGAGCCAAGCACACCAAAGCTGTGAACAATCTCAATCTCTTCACCATCCATCCTGATGCTGCCAATTGGCCCAGTGGTGAGAATCTTTGTCTTCTTGACATTGAATCCATATTGTAGGCTGCAGTCCTTGACCCTCTGCAGCAAGCGCTTCAGGTCCTCCTCAGTTTCAGCAAGCAGGGTTGTGTCATCTGCATACATGATTTAAAATCAAGAATAATGTACATTAGGGCTGTATCCTTTCTCTACACTTAAAAAATCTGTGTGCTGGGTAAATCATATGAGAAGCCTAGCTTTTGAAGAGGAATGTGACATCAGAATCAGAAGAATACCCATTAACAACCTGTATTATGCAGATGACACAGCTTTGCTTTCTAAAAGTGAGGAGGACTTGAGCACTTGCTGCAGAAGATAGACTGCAGCCTTCAATATCTATTTCATCTCAAAGTCAAGAAAACATATCTCCTCACCAGTAGGCAACATTACGATATCACTGATCAAAAAATCAAAAGATGTATTACATTTTACAATCTGCTATCAGCAACCTCTGTAGACTGTAAAAGAGCAAGGATGTCAGTTTAAAGGTGAGGGTGTTCCTGAGGCAAGCGATGGTCTTTTAAATTGTTTGCTATGTTTCTGAAAGTTGGACAATTACTAAGGATGACAGAAGAATTAATAACTGAATTGTGTTAGAGAAGAATCCTGAATATTTCATAAACTGCCAAAGAACAAACAAGTCTTGGAGAAGTGGAGCCAGATTTCTCTTTGGAGGCAAAGATAATAAAGCTTCATTTTATATATTTCTGGCATGTTGCTAGGATAGGCATGTTCCTTGGATAGGGATCTCATGCTTGGAAAGGCAAAGGCTCAGCGAAGGAGAGAAAGACTCTCAACCAGATTGATTGATTGATTTAGGGTCTACTGCAGTGGGCTCCAGTGTATCAGGAAGTGTAAGGATGTAACAGGATAGGACAGGGTTCAGATTTATTCTTCATAAAGTCACTATGGGACATACTCAACATGACAGCACTTAACAGCAATAGAAGGTGGGAACTTTTGGTGAGGTGCAAAGCCTCATGAGAGCAAGAGGAATGTTTTTTGTTCCAGATGGATGGGCACTGGTGTATTCTTCCAGCTTTACTTTTCAATCTCTGAATGGATAGATGTGGATACAGATTGCAGAAGATGTATTCATCTGGAATCTGGTAGTAAGAAAGCCTGATGAGACAGATACCATTTTCTGCTTGGTGTGGACATTTCAGTACTGAGCAAGAATGTTACCAAGTGGACAGGCCGATGGTGACAGTTTAGATATGATGTCAGTGGTTTGCACTTTGTCTACAAGTTTACACTGCTTACAAATAGAAGAATATAACCTTTGAGACTGCAGTGGTGTAAACAGTTAAAAAACTCTAGTGTTGACTTAGAGGTGGGAATTTGAATGTACTCAGTAATGTCTTGAGAGAAGGACCCAGTGATTACCTCTGAGTAACCAACCAGCCCTGGACAGCACCGTGGAGCACAACACCACTCCAAAAAACGTGGGTCCACATGAGTTGGGATTGTCTCTGTTCCAGCTGTTTTCTTTTTGTCAATCCTTGGGCGGCTTCAGAAATCCATAGTGAGGCTTCTCAGCAGGACATGTAAATTTTCTTTCTAAAGGCGAGGTGTTCTCTTTGCATCACTGGATCTCTTTCCTTCTACAGTATCCCAGTGAGAGGCTGTGTGAAGACCCGGTTGTTCCTAAAGAACCATTCCAACTTGAAGGACTTTGCTGAAGAATTTGGCAAGCCTGACAATGCCATTGGAAATGGGACAGTCTCTGGTACAGGTGCCACCACTGGGAAAAGCAGAGGACTCACCACTGCCTGGAGCAGCTGCTGCCCCTCAAGGGGAGCTCTCCAGCCTTGAAGCTGCCCGGCAGCTTTTCCGACGCTTTCAGTACCAGGTGCTGTCTGGGCCCCATGAGACCCTGAGGCAACTTCAGAAGCTCTGTTTCCAGTGGCTGCAGCCAGACGTTCACAGCAAAGAGCAGATCCTGGAGCTCCTCATGTTGGAGCAGTTCCTGACCATCCTGCCTGGGGAGATCCAGACATGGGTGCACACACAGTGTCCCAGCAGTGGAGAGGAGGCAGTGACGCTGGTGGAGAGCTTGAAGGGCGAACCCCAGAGACTGTGGCAGTGGGTAAGTAGAGGGTATTGGACTCTAGGGTCATTTTGAGATGTCCTCATGCCTCATCTATGCTGCTGTGTGTTTCTCAGTGTCCATGGTACAAATGGTTTGTACTTGACTATTAAGCATAAGCTGGGTGCTTTGAACCCACAAGTGACATTGTTAGAAGAAAGATCTCGTCATCTACTTTCCATGAAACTTATTGCTAAGAAAAACCCAATAAGCTCTCTGCTCAGGGTGTTGACCACCATGGTGTGAGTTAGAATGAATCCTTCCACAGGTGCTTTGTTTTTGGGTTTTTTGTGTGTGCTATATTAAGTGTCTGCACACTAGCTGTTACAGATTGAATATACTATCTCCAATTCCATGCTAACTTAACACTAGAATGTTTGCATTTGTTTTACGTTTTTATTGGTACACACTGTCCAATTGAAACCTCGTATTAAAGATCTTCCTTTGAGATCTTTCAAGCCTGGTTCAGTGCCAACAGTTGGCCTCCCTTGTCATATTTCTATCAATGGCTATAAATACCTGCTGAATGAGAAAAATAATCTGGCTTTCTTCTTTCTCATTACCTTTTCCAAAGAGCTATAATGTGTTACAGAAGCTTCACTTCATCTTTTTAGGAATCACAACTCAGCATCCTTCAGTAACTAATAACTTGTCTTTAGATCAGCAGCCGGGTTCTGGGACAGGAAAGCTCACCTGAGAAGGTGGAATCTACAGACTGCCAAGTGAGGGAGGCAGAGGCCAGTCCTGAAGTGGTGCTTCAGGTGCTGGGACTTCAGAATTCAGCCTCAGGGCCTGAGGAGCAGCTGAGCCTCATCATCAAAGAGGAAGCTGTCACTGAGCCAGAATTAGGTGAGGTCCAGTTATTATTCATGGTTGTATTGGGGGATTTCTAAGGCCTTCTTTCTTTCTCTAGAAAGTTAGGGTTTCTGGATTTCTGAGTTGAAAGTATATTCAGATTAAAATGTCCTTCAAAATTTTGGGACCAAGGTCGATGTCCACAAATCACCCTGATTGAGAGTTTCAGTGTCAAAAAAAAAAGGGGGGGGTTTCAGTGTCTTCATTTTAACTTTATATTTGTATTAGACCGTTTGAGTTTGGGACCTGAGTAAGGAGAAAAGGCAATATTTGATTGAGACTCTTTGGGGTATTAGTGCGATTTGGACTTTGTTAGTGATGTAGGTACAGATCTTGAAATTGTGGATGGAAGTATCAGTTCTAATTTGTCAAATATTTTCTTTTCTTATTTATTTATTTATTTGTTTGTTTATTTCTTTATTTAATTTATGTTAGTTAGTTAGTTAGTTAGTTAGTTATGAATGAATGAATGCCCTCACAGTAATAACTGAGGAGGACATTTAAATTCTTAAAATTCCTGTTTCTCACTTCAGTGATAGCTGGTCCCCAGCTGCTTTGCAGATCCAGGGAAAGGCTCATCAGCAACCAGGACTCTGAAGACTCCCTTCTTCAAGCATCATCTCAGGTGAGTGAAGTTTCCTGCCTCTGAACCAGTTTTGATCATTCACCCAGTAGTTAGAAGGACTAAAATTAATACCTTGTCAGAAGTACAGTGGAGAAGAGGACCTCGCTAGGATAATAGGAACAATACACATGAACAAAACCTTGAATTTAAGTATCTCTCAGGTTTTCTCAAAGCAGAATATATATACATAATTATTTTTTTAAGAAAACATCTTTATTTTAAAAATTTGGCTACTACTCAAGTACTTACACTTGTAATCAATTGCTAGGTTGTGTGTAGATGGTAAAAAGGATCATTAGATAATCTTTTAACTCAGTATGAAAAACACAGACATTCAAAAGTCCCAATTGAAACTTTGTTTTTTGTTGTTGTTGTTGTGTACCATTGAGTCTAATCCAACTGACACAGGAGGAGATTGCCCCTCCTTCTCCAGAGCAGAATCTGGTGGATTCAAACCACGTGTCTTTGGGATTGCAGCCTTCCCAAAAGGCATTGGTTCCTCTTCACTCCTAAGCTCTTTGAGTTGACGTAACAGTAAGTAAAGGACCCAAGTGATGAGTTTCTCAAAAGCAAGGCAGAATATGTTGTTGTTAGAATATATAATTTTAGTTGCCATTTAGCATAGGGGAATCTAGGCTCTAAACAGAGGTGAAAAGAGTCTGTGATGAGACATATGTTGTCTCCAAGCTGCAACATTTGTGTGAGATAAAAACAGAAGGAAGGAAATTTGAGTGGGAGAGCTTTACTAACACTGAGAATGGAGAGGATACTTGAGATCTGGGTCCTGTGCTAAAAACTCATAGGCCTATGGCAAAGTGTGGCCAAGACACAGGTATGTCACTGAGGAATGCCTAAGCGTAAAAAGAGTAGCTGTAATGTGGGCATGTGGGGTGGCCCAGTCTGACTTTTATCCACTTCATTAAAGGGAAACGGTCCCAATCAGTAATAACCAGAGTAGCAAATACATACATGCTCAATCAGACATGCCACCCCAACCTGCACCTGAATCTCTTCCTACTATTTTGGTTCAATATTCGTTGTTGACTCACAGACTTGACTCACAATTGTGAGGTTTATTAGCAAAATATACTAGACAGGAGGCAAAAATATCACCCTGTGCAAGTTCAAGTTTAGCCCAGGATTCCCAAGCCTGGTTACCCACAAAACACAGTTCCTTGATTAGTGAAAGTCCTGATTTCTTTTCAGCAACACAAATTCAAGAAGCCCCTGGTTTCCTCAGTCATCCATCAAGTTTTGCCTTAGAGCTGTTACAAGTCAGCTTTTCCTCCAATCATGCTACAAGCAAAACCTTTAACTGTGGTCAGTACAAACGCAAGCGGCCTCAGATTGTGACTTGCCATAGTCTCTTGACAGAAGTTCTATAGTCTCTTTACAATCTTTTCACCACCATCGTTGCAGGGGGACCTCACAGTGCAGAAAAGCGCTCTCATATTGGTCCCACAGCTATTGATGCACGACCATGTTTCCACAGTTAAAGTAGCTGGAGACTGTACCCCCTGTCCCATCTCAATGAGGGCTAATATAATGACTGGAAGAGCCAGTTTTTAAGATTTCTGACGCCATACTAGCTAACAAATGTTGAAAAGAGACAAACACTTTCCCCAGAGCTGACATGGAAAGAAAAATATCTTGTGGAGCTAGCGCCTAAATTAGAACTTCTAGCTTCCTAAAATGGGAGAGAATAAATTTTTATTCCTTATAGACATCTATTCATCTATGCTATAAATATGATAAACATATTCATCACTCCTACTTCATTTTGTGCATTTACAATCCCTCTCTCTTGACTTTTCTGACTTCCTCTTCCTATTCTGGATGACGACGGATCTGATTTCTATTACCATAGAGGAGTTTTTCATTTTCTAGGATTTTATATGCCACTCGTGGCTTGAATTTATTTTTCAATTGCTTCAGCTTAAGAAATGCTGAGCAGGTTTGGCCCTTTTGATTTTCTGACTCCAGCTTTTTGCACATTATAATACTTTACTTTGGCTTCCCAAACTGCCCTTTGAAATCTTCTGTTCAGCTCCTTAATTTCTTGATTTCTTCCTTTAGCTTTGTCTTCTTGGAGCTCTAGTGCAATATTCAGAGTCTCATCTGACATCCATCTTGGTTTTTTCTTTCTCTTCTGCTTTTATAATGACTTTTTGCATTTTTCATGGATGATATTCTTGATTCTGCTCATTTGGTCTTCACTCATTGCTGTTAAAGGCCTCAAACCTGTCCTGAGATGGTTTTGAAATTTGAGTGGGCTAGACTTAAGGTCAAATTTTGGTTCCTGTGGTTTTAATTTTTTCAACTTCTGCTTGAACTTGCATATCTGTTCCAGTCAGCACCTTGCCTAGTTTTCACAGCTGATATTGAGCTTCTCCAGCGATTCTTTCCACAGATGTAATCTATTTGACTCCTATTCATATCATCAGGTGAAATCCATGTCTATAGCCTGTGTTTGTGTTTCTTATAAAAGGTATTTGCAATGACTAAATCATCAAATGTGCAGAATTCTGTCATTCTATCTGAATATCAAGAAAACAAAGATTCTCACCACTGGACCGATTGGCAGCATCGCAATGGATGGTGAATAGATTGAGATAGTTAACAGTTTTAGTTTGCTTGGCTCCACAGTCAACACTCTTGGCACCAGCAGCCAGGAAATTAAAAGACGTATTGCTTTGGGAAAGTCTGAGGTTAGAGACCTCTCTAAAGCACTGAAGTGCAAAGATGTCAGTCTGGAGACTAAGGTGCGCCTGATACATGTCATGGTCTTTCCAGTCACTTGCTATGCATCAGAGAGCTGGACAATGACTAGGGATGAAAAAAGAATTGATGCCTTTGAGCTGTGGTGTTGGAGAAGATTATTGAATATACCATGGACTGCTGGGAAAACAAACAGATTTGTCCTGGAGAGGGTGAAGCCAGGCTTCTTGGAGGCAAGGATTCTGAAGCTTTGTCTGACACTTTGGGCATGTTGCAAAGAGGGACCAGTCCTTGGAGAAGGATGTCATGCTTGGGAGGGTCGAGGGACAGTGCAGGAGAGGCGGACTCTCGAGATGGATTGGTTCAGTGACTGGGGTAATGGGGGTGGGTGTGTCGGAGATGGTTAGATTGGCACAGGATAGGGCAGAGTTTGGGGTTGTTGTACGTAGGGTCGCTATGAGTCGCAGGCGACTTGATGGCATATAACAACATCTCCAGCTTCATTTCTATCACCAAGTCCATGTTTTTCAACTAATGATCCTTCTTCCCTGTTCCCAGCTTTTGCATTCTAGTCAGTCACCCGTTATCAATGCATCTTGATTGCATGTTCAGTCTATTTCTGACTGCAAATGTTGCTAGAAATCTTTCATTTCCTCCTCTTTGGTTCTAGTTGAGGGTGCATATATTTGAATGATAGTGGTACTCACTGAACTTCCTTATATGCATATGGATATTATCCTGTCACTTACCACATTTTATTTCATGATGGATTTAGAAATGACTTTTTTAATTAGGAAACCAACCCCATTTTTGCTCACCTTTTCATCCCCAGCATAGTAGAGCGTATGATCATCTGATTCAAAATGTTCCATGCCACTCCCATCTCACTTTGCCCAATTTTCCTATATTGGAGGAAGATTCATCAACAACCTGCATTATGCAGATGACACAACCCTGCTTGCTGAAACTGAGGAGGACCTGAAGCGCTTGCTGTAGAGGGTCAAGGACTGCAGCCTTCAGTATGGATTGAAGCTCAACATTAAGAAAACTAAGATTCTCACCACTAGGCCAATTAGAAGCATCGTTATGGATGATGACGAGAATGAGATTGTTAACAGTTTTAGTTTACATGGCTCCACAATCAACTCTCTTGGTACCAGTAGCCAGGAAATCATGAGATGAATAGCACTGGGAAAGTTAGCTGTCAGGGACCTCTCCAGAGTACTAAAGAGCAACACTGTCAGTCTGGAGACTAAGGTGTGCATGATGCAGGCCATAGTCTTCATTATTGCTTGCTATGCGTCAGAGAGCTGGAAAATGACTAGGGATGTTAGAAAGAGGAATGATGCCTTTGAGTTGGGATGCTGGAGAAAAGTATTGATTGAATATACCATGGACTGCTAGGAGAACAAACAGGTTCGTCATGGAGAGAGTTAAACCATGCTGTTCCTTGGAGGCAAGGATTCTGAAGCTTTGTCTGACATACTTTGGACATGTTACAAGGAGGAACCGGTACTTGGAGAGGGACATCATGCTTGGGAGGGTGGAGGGATTGTGCAGGAGAGAAAGACCATCGCTGACATGGATTTATTCAGGGACTAGGGTAACAATGGGGGTAGGTGTGTTAGAGACAAGAAGGTTGGCACAGGATACAGCAGGTTTTAGGGCTGTTGTACACAGGGTTGTTATGAGTTGCAGGCGACTCAACAACACATAACAAAAACAAGGATTTTATATAATTGGACTCATATTGAATGTTCTCTTTGTTTTTCTGCATGTTTTGTATTTTCCTTGCTGCTTTAACTATTTCATCACTTTCTAGAAAAGATTGATATATTGTGTATGGAAGTTATTTATGTGTCTTGTGCCTAGGGTTCATTCAGTGTGATGTTAGGAGATTTGGACCTTTATTTGTTCAGCTCTTCCTCTTTCCCTTGGCTCCCACCTGATTCCTAGAATACCTGAGATGTTGTGGACTAAACAGCTAAATTTAATGAATTCTTTGAATTAAAAGTACTGTGCCTCTTAAAGTTGATAATGTACCATAAGGGATCTGTAAACCTGATTTCCCCCCTTTCTTGATGAGAATATAGGTGCAAACTGTGACTTAAACATTTTTTTAACATTTTTTTTAAATTAGCAATTTTCTGAAGAACCATAACGCAGTAGGACTTCCTCTTTAAAAAAAAAATTAAATTATACTAGTTTATTTTCTTTACAAAATTGAAATACAATGTTTTCCAGACCAGATTCTTCTGTCATATTGTACAACCCAATGGTTAATCCTCCCTCCCCACACATATCCTCATCCCTTTGCTTTCCCCCTTCCTCCCTTAGATCCTCATTCTCATTCTGCAATAATGGTTTGTGGTTTGTTTCTTTTTTAAAATTTTATTCGTGTGTGTGTGTGTGTGTGTGTGTGTGTGTGTGTGTGTGTACTGTCAAATCTGATCCAACTGGTACAGGAGGAGATTGTCCCTCCTTCTCCAGCAGAGCAGCATCTGGCGGATTCAAACTGTGTGTCTCTGGGATTGCAGTACAGCTTCTTGCCACTAGGCCACCATAGCTTCCATATGCAATAATGGTTTTATGGAATATTTGTCCCTGTGAGACTGAGTTCACTCAGTATAATGCTATACAGTCCCTTCCAAGTTAGGTAAGGTAATAATTTACAAAATCATTATTCCTGCGTGCTGTGTAGTATTAGGACTTCTTTTGAGTCATTAATTATGCATAGCTCAAAAGTCATACTCATTGTTTTTGAGTTGGAACTGACTCATCTAGCTCTCCAACAGGTTTTTGGAAAACTTAAATCTCATGATAAGGAGACTCCTCATATTTTTCCTGTGGAGTTACTAGTGGATTTGAATCACCAGAGAAGGACCACTTGGCAGCATAGTTCCCTACAGAGTAGGTAACTGAGCTCCATCTACTTCATTTTTGTTATTATGAACTGTCTAGTTGAAACTGACTCATAGCTGACCCTCCAGTGGATTTTTAGAGATAGTAAATTGCAGGCGAGGAATTTGTCCCTCTTTTTCCTCTTACAGCAGCTAGTAAATTTGAACTGCCTTATTTTGGTTTGGCAATGCAATTGCTTACCATTAAGAAACCAGAAAAAAAAAGAAAAGAAACCAGAGGACTTTCATTTGGAGGATATGTGAAGACTACCCTATTCATGATAACTCATGCATTGAAAGAATGTTACAACCTAAACTCAGAACTCTTGGTAAATTACAGGGTTCTGTTGCCCTGTCTCTGAACACTCCAGTCTTGTTTCTGGATGGAGCTTAAGCACAATCAAACTTCTGCATTTGATATTTTTCTCCTTTATGCAATTTTGCATTGCCAATGCATTCCTTTTTTTCATTTGCTTTTACCTTCGAATTTCTAGATTTTACTTAAATGTCAGATTTGGAGAGGTTGAAAAACCTACCTCCAGTCAGTAGGAGGATTTTACTGTTAGAAACATACAACTTAAAAACATAGACATACAAGTTAAAACCTAAATGTTTTCTACTCAGGACAAGAAACACTGGAGTAGGGACTAGTAGCTCTTGGCCTTTTCCTCCGTTAATCTCTCCCCCAGGGTTTCTCAGATCTTCTGAAGCTTAGGCTCCTTTGGCATATTTATTCCTTCTCACTTTTTCCTCTAGGCAACATTATGTACCTTCCTTTGGAGACCTTTTTTTAGGTTATGACATTGTATACGTTCCAGGAGCAGTTGAGGCACTTGGATTCTACTCAGAAGGAGCACTACTGGAACCTCATGCTGGAGAACTATGGGAAAATGGTGTCAGGAGGTTAAGGGCATGGCTTACCAAATGCAAGGTGGTAGAAGGACTAGGAATTCTTTGGTAATGTTTATTTATTTTTTTTTCCCTAGACACAAGTTCACCCTGAAATGCGAAGGGTGGAAAATCATTAGTAATAAGAGCTGGGAACTAGGATGAGTGGAAGCTAGCAGAAGTAGAGCAAGAAATGTCTTTGCATTCAGTTCTGGGAGCTCCAGTGGGTGCAACTGCATACAATAACTCCTCCAGTCTTTATGCCATCCTTATTATTGGAGATGTTGTCCTGTATTAAACATGATTAAAGTGTCATATCCAGTTACTGTTTCCCTTTTCTGTCCCTCATAAGTGCCAAGTGAGGATACAACTCAGTGTTCCTAGCCTGGAGTCTACGCTCTTTTCCAGCAGATAACAACACTGCCTCTCCCAAACATGGGTGACTTTAGTCATGACCTTAGCCCCAGCTTCCCAGAAGGTCTGCAGACCATTCTGTCTACCTTCTCTGACTCTGCTTTTCCTCCTTTTCTGCATATTTCTTCACATCTAGTGAGTACTAGTCTGACACGCCGATGTTATTCTAAGATTCATGTCCTTCTGTGGAGTCTAGGGCCTTCATCAGAGAGTTGGACAATGACTAGGAAGGATAGAAGGAGAATTGATGCCTTTGAGCTATGGTGCTGGAGAAGAGTATTTAATGTACCATGAACTGCCAAGAAAACAAGCAGATTCATCCAGGAGAGGGTTTAACTGGCCTGCTCCTTGGAGGCAAGGATTCTGGGGCTTCGTCTGACATACTTTGGACATGTTGTAAGGAGGGACAGGCCCTTGGAGAGGGACATCATGCTTGGGAGGTGGAGGGACAGTACAGGAGGGACAGGGCCCTCTATGAGGTGGATTGATTCAATGACTGGGGTAATCGGGATGGGTGTGTAGGAGGCAGTGTGATTGGCACAGGATAGAGCAGGGTTTAGGGCTGTTGTACATAGGGTTGCTATGAGTCGCAAGTGACTCGACGGCACATAACAGCAACAGGGTCTTCATAGTTCCCTTCATGCTTGGGTAGGACCTTCCTTTGAAAGACTTAGGCAGTGCCAATTCTCTTCATTGAAAAAGGTTCACAAGTTGTTCTCTTTCTTTGTCAGACACTGCCAGTTCCAAACCTGACCCAGCTAATTCAGCAGAGTGTGGTGAAGAGCTGGTAAGGCTGCCCCTTCATGCCAGCAAGAAGATCCAAGCTCCCACCTGCAATGGTGAGTCAACTTTCATTGGTCCCGAGATGTTTCTGAACTTGCCTAGTTAAGGCAGGTGTGGTGGTTGATTTGGTTTCTATTTTTTAGTTAAAACTAGCTGTGGATGGGCCAGGTCAGTTGTTTGATGTTGGATCTCTTCATCACTGTTTTTAGAGCTGTTGACACATGTATCTTACAGTTGAAGAGTGGTCTCACATCTTTTGTCTGCAGTCTGTTCTGTAAAATTGTAATAAATTTTCTTCAGTGAGAATTAAGATTGATCTAGATAAGACAGATTAAAAAAAACATGTAAAATTGAATTAAAAGTAAGCTTATATATAAGAGCCATCATTCTCCTTACTGGCATGACATTCAAAGGAGTTTTTCTTACTGTCATTTTAATGAAAAGTACCCAACTTTTTCTGGAATTAAAGAATACCAGAAATAGGAGCTGCAACTACAATCCCAAAGGCGCACTGTTCAAATCCACCAGATGCTCTGCCGGGGAAGGAGGGACAATCTCCTCCTGTACCAGTCAGATCTGATTTGATGGTACACTCACACAAAAATAATAAAAGAAATTAAAAAAAAAAAAGAATACCAGAAATAGGAAAAGTGCTTTATCTACTCTCTAACTTTCATGAAGCTATGTTATTGTAGTTGTTACATGCTGTTGAGTGGACTATGACTCAGAGACCCTTAACTACAGATCTGCACCTCGCTGTATCCTGTGCTATCTTACTGGCCTCTGACGTGATCTTACCCATTGTTACAGATGATGTGCCAGTCCATCTCCTTGATGGTCATTCTCTCTTTGAGTCTCTGTCTGTCTTAGTATGATACCTTTTCCCAAGGATTAGCCCCCTCTTGATATCATGGCCAAAGCATGTGAGATGAGGTTTCACCATCCCTGTCCCTAAGGAGCACCCTGTTTGGACCTCCTCCATATCAGAGAAGGACTGTTTTGTTGGCAGCCCATGGGACATTCAGTGCTCTTCCCTAGCACTACAGTTCAAAGGCATTCTCTCTTTGATCTTCTCATTGATTATCTAGCTTTGAGATTCGTAGGAAACAATTGAAAATTCCGTCACTTGTATCAGGTACACTTTAATCTTTAAACTGACATCTTTGTTCTTTAGCACTTTGATGAGTTCCTTGATAGCAGATTTTTCTAATGTATAGTGTCTTGATTTCTTGACTGCTGCTACCATGCTTATTGATTGTGGATCTGAATAAAATTAAATCCTTGATGACTTCAATCTTTTCACTATCATGATGTTGCCGATTGATTCAGTGGTGAGGATTATTATTACTTTGCTGTTGTGATGCAATCCATACTGAAGGCTATTATATAGTCTTTGATATTCTACAACAAGCGCTTCAAGTCTTCTTCATTTTCTGCATGTATGGTTATTTCATCAGCCTAGTGCATGTTGTGGATGGGTTTTCCTCCAATCCTAGTGCCACTTTATTTCCATTAAGCAGTAGCAACAACAGATGCTTCATCTAAATTGTAAGAAAGCTGAACTTGTTCTGTTGTAAAGTATTACACATTTTGCTTTCTACACACTTTCTACAACATTGTTCTGAACAACTCAACTGTCAAGTATTAACTGCTAACCAACAGGTGCCTCTTATGAGTATCCAGAGGTGGTCATTGTTAGGTGACTTTGTGTTAAGTACAACTCATAACCACCCTGGGAACAACTGATCCAAACACTGTCCTGTGCCATCTTCATCATCCCTGACACACTTGATGATTCCACTTGTGCTGTCACTGTGTCAGTACATCCTTTTAAATGCCTTCCTCTCTTTCAGTGACCCTCCATAATTCCAAACATGATATTCCTTACCAAAGAATATCCTTTCCTAGGAACATGCCCAGAGTATGTGAGTTGCAGCTTTGCCAGCCAGAGGTACTTCAAGATAAAGAATTGGTAGTCTGTTTCAGGAAAATCAACCATTTCAAACCCAGTGGAGGGTCAGCAAAGGGTCGATTCCAACTCGATAGTATAAAACAGCAATAGTAGTTCATCAGTCCACATTCCTTTGGTTTGGCAGTACACCTCCTTACTGCTGAGTAGTCCATAGACTGGCAAAGAAGCAAACAGGTAAGTCTGGGTAAAGGGGCAACCATAATGCTGTTTGGAAGCAAGGATAGTGAAGCTTTGTCTCTTTTACTTTAGACATGTTGTTAGGAGAGGCTGGTCCTTAGAAAGAGAGATTATGTTGGAAAGGTGTCAGTTTAGCAAAAGAGAAGAAGGCTGCCAACAAGCTAGATTGACATTATGACTGCAGAAGTAGGCTCAGGTGTATCAGAGATGCTGAAGGTGGAATGGGACACACCTGAAATTGATAGTGTTGGTATGAGTTATAGACGACTTGAAGGCAACTAATAACAACAACAGATTGCTCGTATCAGTGAGATTGTATAATATTTCAGCTTTGGTGTTAAGGTTTTTAGGGAGTTGTGATGGTTTGAGTCCTCCAGTGATGCATCAAGAGACACATAGTCCATATCTACTTGTGTGATTTACAGCCTTGGAATCTTGCTGGAGGCTCCGCTATGAGTCATTTCCATCTTGACAGCAGTCAGTTAAGATGTAATATTTGTTATTTGGTGATTGACTTATTTCGCTCACAGCAGTGATTGCAGGGCTGAACCATGTTATATCTGGACTTTCGTTTTCTTTATGTCTGAGCAATATATGTAAGTACATATTTTGCCAATTTATATGTTGGTGGACATTGTGTTTTTTAAAGAGTGCTGCAGTGAACACTGGTCACCATATGCCTTACTGTTAGTAGTCAAACATATTTGAAAATACTTTATAGCTGAATGGATTCCATCCACTCTCTCGTCCTCCCCTTCCCCCATGCCGTCTCCTGATGTGGCTCCTTTAGATCATCCCATAATTCAGGCTGTGGAGAGTTGAGCATCCCAACCTGTCTGCATAGGCAAGGAAAGCAGTGGAAAAAATATGTTGTTGTTGTTGTTATGTGCCGTCGAGTTGTTTTCGACTCATAGCGACCCTATGCACAATAGCCCTAAACCCTGCTCTGTCCTGCGCCAACCGCACTGCCTCCGACACACCTATCCCGATTACCCCAGTCACCGAATCAATCCATCTCATAGAGGGTCTTCCCCTCCTGCGCTGTCCCTCCACCCTCCCGAGCATGATGTCCCTCTCCAAGGACCCGTCCCTCCTGGCAACATGTCCAAAGTATGTCAGACGAAGCCCCAGAATCCTTG